TGGACTATCAATGTGATATACACTAGTCACTAATCGGTCTACACTTTATTTATCATTATTTTGATCACTGCCTACATTATTTGATTGTGATGAAAAATGACCAAATTTTGAAAAATCACACGCGGGATATCAGTGGTGGTCTAACTTCAATTAACTCATGATTTCAACTAGTAAAATTTCTAAAATCTCCACAAAACCCCTTCTCATAATAATCATCTGTTCACTAGTGACTGACTTCAAGAGACACTTCTGGAGTTCTAATGAGAAGCTATTACCAGTGGAGTTCAACCAGGTCTGTTGTGAGATATCAGCTCACTGAAGACAATGGTGTATGGTGGCGCAATTTCATGGATTGGTTGAAGTTAGACATTAACACCGTTTGATGCAGGCTCAGTGGTCTAGTGTTTAAGCACTCGCAAGAGAGACTGATAGGTCCTGGGTTCGAATATCGCTAAGGAGTCCCATACCAGGACGAAACGGCCGTCCAGTGCTCCCAGGTTTTCCATAGTGGTCTAACTTCAATCAACTCATGATTTCAACTAGTGAAAAATAGATAATTGAATCTAAAAGAATATATGCGATCGAAGTTAGGGGTGGCGATTATTATTATTATTATTATTATTATTATTATTATATTACATATCAATTTGAACTTCACTTGAGTACGGAATTCAATCTGTACTTTACAAGCTGAACAGAATATTTTATTATTATTTTCTTGTTAGACATGAACTTATCTACCAGCACTATATATATATATATATATATATATATATATATATATATATATATATATATATTAAGAGGGAAGGACGGAGGGAGGTAGTGAAGTAAATCCTTAATTAGAATTATTCGTGTTTTCATGATAAATCTATGATAACCCAAATATAGCAGAGAGACAGAGCGAGAATGTTTGGATATATTCACAAATTTGTAAAGACATATGCGTTCTTTGTTTTTGTGTGCGAATTGTCTTCATATTTTTTTAGCTTTATTTTCTATCTTTGTCTGAATAATGTACACTATCTAGATTTTACTTGTGTATACATTCGTTTACTGTCTATCATGTCTTCAACCTCTTTAGTGGAAGTATGTATATACATATATTTGCACAGACTTTTAATAATTTCGTTTAATAAATAAGGCAGATGTGCGAAATACTTATGTGAATAGAGGTGGATATCTGTCATACAACTCAGCTTGATTTTACTCAGCATAAACCAACCTGTATATATATAGTTTATTCTAGTTAGTGTATTTTAGCAATATTTTTTTACGGAATGTGGTTGTTTAACCCATGCTCAACTCTCCTCTTTTAGCCTGGCTTAGGACCGACAGTAGCCCTACAGGCAGGGAATACAATCGATATATTGGATACAGCTAGATGATTTGGATTTCGAAGATAGCCTGGCTCTACCATCCCATACACACCAACAAATATCGGTGAAGACAGTTAGTGTAGCAGAAGCCTCTGCATCAGTAGACCTCAACATACACAAAGGAAAAAGCAACATCCTCAAATAAAACACTGAGAACACCAACCCAATCACATTTGATGGACAAGCTCTACAAGATTTGCAATTGTTCGCGTACCCGCACAACGTCATCTATAAACAAGGAAGATCTGGTGCACATGTGAGGGAAAGGATTGGCAAAGTAAGGACAACATTCCTACAGTTGAAGAACATATAAAGTTTAAAACAACTGTCAACCAACATCAAAGTGAGAATCTTCAATACGAAAGTCAAGACAACTCTACTGTACGTACGGAGATGAAACTTGCAGAACTACCACAACCGTAATCAAAACAGTAAAAGTATTTAGAAACAATTGTCTACTGAAGATACTCAATGTCCATTGGTCGGTTACCGTCAACGATAGCCTACTGTGACAGAGAACAAACCAACTTGCAACAGAAGTAGAAATTAAGGAAAGATGCTGGAAGTTGATTTGATATACATTTGGGAAATCATCAAACTGCATCACAAGGTAAGCGCAAGATCGAAGAACACAATGCTCCGGGAATCGGGAACAGATATCGAAAAAGTGAATAGGAAGTGTAAAGAACTGTAAAGAATTTTTCAGGATAGATTTGGATTGTGAATGCTGGTAGGCGATCTATGCTCCTCAACAAGGTGTTCATTATTAAAAACCTTGCATCGAATTAATTAACAGGAATTTTCCAAGGAATTTACCCATATTTCTTCATCATGCGTAGATAATAATCCATAAATAATTGTCGATCCACTGTGTATTGAATAATCTATTGTTACTCCGTAACTGGTCTCACATCCCCTTACATCAAACTCAGAACATTCATGAACTGCTTTACCAAACTAAAGTAGATCTTCCGTATTTGTCACTTACTTGGATATTTATTCATTTTCCATTTTTTATAAGTTATTTTGAATTTTTTAATGTAGTACTTCTTTCTCAATAACAGAGTCACAAATGCAACAGGAGATCTAATATCAGTGATTAAAATGAGAATAATCGTTAAAATATTTAATGTTATACTAGAGTGGTAACCGGAACCTTTTGTGTTATACCTAGAAAAAGGTGATAAGTCCACTTAATGAAGAACTTTCACGATTACTATCTGATAATTCCCAGTTATTATTGGTCAGTATTCATATGTAATCAAAATATTCAACTCATTGGTTAATTCTACAGTTTCAACATTTCTTGTTTAAATTCAAACAAATATTTTTGTTTTTGTGTTGTTATTTAAAAACTTTAAATCAAATTGACATATATTTAGGAATACTAATAACTAGGAATATAACATTTTTAAGACCTTACTTATACTTATAAAACAACATAAGAAACTGGAAACAAAGTAAAGATTAATGTTCTCACTGTTTATTATTCTATTATTAAGTAGTTATCCGCTATTTTTTGTTTTTACTTTATAAAACGTTCCATGAGTTTCTGATTTAAGTGCTTTTATATCTATTTCTAATAAACTGGGAAAATTCTCATCTGCAACTGAAATCAACTCAGAAATCATCAAAAACTATGGAATAATGAATAGCTTTTTGTTCTGCTTCGTTATTGTGTAGTTCATCCTCAATTCAATACATGCAATCAATTATACAAACAACTTCATTTCTCATAATAGGCAGAACACTGAATAGTAATCACTAGTACAGACTTTCAACTTGTTTCATTTTGATCCGTGAGTAGCATTCGAACTTATTTCCAACTTATTGGCTAATGAAAAGTAATCACTATCGCATCCATCTAGTCCTTTTTCGCTGATTGAATTCTATAGATCAGGTTGCAATGTAGCCTTTAATCTTAATCGTCTATCATCCGACGCAACATGCTATTATAGGTGTTAGTCGTCAGGAAACTTTAGGTCTAGATTTATTGTTATTTGACACTCGTCAATAAGATGCGCCCATAAACTTAGGATAATTGGTACTCCCTGTGGGATACCATCTCTAGTTATCCAGTTTTAGAGTCTGAGACATTTGAACTACTCACTATTTTAAGAAAACAAATTTACAGTTTATGGTTTCTACCTTATTTATATTACAAGTATAAGATAAAAGAAAGGCATGATTTTCAGAATTAGTAAATTTTTATGTAAATGTCACTTGATGTTCATTGAAAAGAAATTATTGGCCACTACCCACTAACCAAGCATTGTTTGCCATAATCCAAATACTTCAATGATAACTTCTCTGACTATGATGCCAGTTGATACGGGTTCGAAACCAACGGTAAATATTGGTTTACTCAAGATTTCAGGCCCATCCCTCTGGTAAATCCCAATTAATATAAAATCTATATACGGGATTTGCTAATTAAATTTCTCAAATCACTCAACGTTGGAAGACTACTACTGTTGTTTTAGAACCGAATACCTAATTATGTTGTGGAAATATTTGAGGGTAATAAATTGAAATTGATAGTGAATAACCTGACAAATAAATAAATTATTCAGAGGAAATTTTTCAGATCATATAACTATATTAATCAACCATTTAGAGATGAGCTTTTGAATCAGTCTTCAAGTGTTAAATCTGATTGTTCTAATGGTGCTATTTGTAATTGGTAATCGTTATATATTTTACTGTCTTGACTTGTTCTTTTATTTCTGTTGTGTGTGTTTTTCGTTTGATTTCTAACCGTGTGATTAATCGGGTTTCTCAGTGTATTGACTGCCTTTCCCAGTTCGCCTAAAGGCTCTGGGTTCAATATCTGGAGGAGTTATATATGTAAACAATTGAAGAGTCGAATAGTAGGTTAAAAAAGTTATCGTATTCTTCCTGGTTTTCAACAGCAATTTAATCAAGTTCATTCTATGATATGAAAATTCAAATTCAGTAATCAGTTATACAGTCAGAGGTTAAACGAAAAAAAGTCAATAAAAATGTAAAATAGAAAGACACATAATTTATCAATCACAATCATTCCCATTAGAACGAACTGAATGAATATTTGTGGAATAATTGGAAAACTCACCTCAATATTATGTAATCTATAATGATGTCAAAAACAACAACAAAAAAAGTGCTTCTTAAATAAATAATCTCATTCAAAGAAAATTACATCACTAGAAATAAAATAATCAATTTTTTGTTGATCAACATAATTATAGACTTATTTTATGTCAAATAATGATTTCTCATAGATAATTTCGTCATACAATATAATTTGAGTAGTATATTGCTCAACTTTTTTATCGATCGACTAAAAAAATAATAATAATAATTTTCCTAATCTATATGAGCACTCTGTATGTAAAAAAAAATGTATATTTATATCAAACATGTAATAATGAAAGCACAGAATACAATAATTACGAAATATCATTGAATTTATATATTTGATTACATTTATTCAACTAGAATAAATTATATCTGAATAGAGTAAACAATTTTGTATAATTTTCTTTTCATGGACTTATTTAATGTGAATAATATTCATTGAAAATTACTTAAATTATCGATTACAATTCATTATTACATTAAATTAAAATCAATATTATTATGAAACACATTAAACATTTATTACAATTTATATGGTTGATTATTATTATAACATTATATTTAACAATAATACATGTAAAATGTCTTATTCCAAAATTATGTGTTCATAATATAACAGCAATTGGTGGAAGTGGTATTTGTTGTCCAATACCTAAAGGTTCAAAATATCCATGTGGTGGTTCAGGTCAAGGTACATGTCAAAAAGAATATACACAAATTGAACGTATACCATTTTATTTAATTATGGATGATAGAATGAATTGGCCATCAAGATTTTTTAATCATTTTTGTAAATGTGAAGGTCATTATTTTGGTATTTCATGTAATGAATGTTGGTATGGTTGGGAAGGTAAATTTTGTAATAAACGTAAAAAATATATTCGACGTAATATATTGTCATTTTCTCCAAAGAAAAGGAAAATGTTTGTTGATGTTGTAACAAAAATGCTTACTACTCCAACTGATTATTTAATATTATTTGAAAAAGATGCTATACATTCTGATCCATTATGGAAACCTAAATTTTTAGATGTAGATGTACAATATTTATTATCTTTTCTACATCGTTACGCGAGCAGAGCTACATTATTTCATGATAGTAAAGATTGTATACTACGTCAACATTTGGATAATAATCATGAAGTAGTTGGATTTTTAACTTGGCATAGATATTATATGTTATTTTGGGAAAGACTTCTACGTAAAATTGCAATTCAACTATATGGTTGGTCAGATTTCACATTACCTTATTGGGATTGGGTCGATTCTACAAGCTGTGATGTTTGTGTTAATAGTTTATTAGGTGGTTATGGACAATGGGTTGGAGATACTCGTTTAATAGACCGTAGAAGTCCATTTTACATGTGGCCTGAATACTGTTCTCCTCCAACTACGGGAAGTAACTGTTATAGTTGTCATGCTGGTTGGCCAAACTTTCGAGTATTGACAAGATATTTCGAAAGTGCAGCATTTCCAACAACTGAAAACCTTTTGTTCACTCTTTCAAAGAATACGTAAGTTTTTTTTATCATTCTGGGTTTATAAACACTGCATCACAATCAAAACGTGATATTGTAAAAGATACAATGGCAAATAGATTTCATTATATGTAGAATTATAAAATATATTTCCTGTTAAATATTTATTTATATTATTTTAACACTTGTTTAATCAATTCCATGTATAGCTATGAGTAGAAAATAAATTTTGCTCATGAACTTACATTCACGCCTTTAATAAGTTAATTTAGAGTGGATTTATGCTTTTCCATACACGATCTGACTATCGAGGATATATTGATATTTTATGCTTAATCAGATCTCCAATTTCAGTATAATCATTCGTCTCACTATTGATTTTCTAATATCTTAGCTCTTAGATCTTGAAAAATGGAGTTGCTCAGCTATTATAAATAATTTTAAGCAGTGGATATTTTCGATACTGTTTATATAAATACTAAGCGAGTAACTCTAAACAAAACTGAGCCTAATTTCCACTATACATTAATTCTTATTGGTTGTGTTGAGCATCTTGGTGTAATCAATCAGATAATGAAATAAGATTACTACAAATAACCACAAAAAAGGTTCGATTCCATAAAATATGGATATGAGGAGAGTTAAGTAAATTCAAGGTCGTTGAAACAAGAATTAAAAACGATACTTTGACGAGTTCCAATTACGTAAACTTGTAATAATCTTGGCTGCTAGAAATCATAGTTACATAGATTTAATAACTGGTGTTTATAAGCTAATGTGCTGCTAAGATCTAAACAGATATACCGAGGTGTGTATGTTAACACGCTAAATTACTATTAGAGTACCAGATAAATTCACATCATATGTACTCTTACGGTACACAAAGTTTCCAGAAATGTTACACTTGCTTAGTCCAATTTAATTAACGTTAATTAAATTCAAAAGTCACTTTATTGCATACACTTTAAAATAACTAGAATCTGCTTCTTGTCAAACAATTGCATTTTATTTATCAAATTCGTATAGTTATAATAAATACAAATATTACCAGAACGAGGGGTTGTGGAGATTGTAGTAATTTTAGTAGTTGAACTCATGAATCTAATGAAGCTAGATCACCATTGGAAACCTAGAAGCATTGGACGGCCGTTTCGTCCTAGTATGGGACTCCTCAGTAGTGCATCCACGATTCTGTATACGGGATTTGAACCCAGGCCTCCCGGTCTCGCGCGTGAACGCATAATCTCTGGACCACTGGACCGGCATCCAATGGTGGATGCTCACTGCTGTGCAGTCCCACACTAGGACGAAACGGTTGTTTAATGCTTCCAGGTTTTCAATGGTGGTCTAGCTTAAATCGACTCATGAATTCAACTATTGAAAACAATTACAAATATATTTGTTAGCATGATTTATTTAGTAAATTAATTCTAAAAAGTTTGTTCTAAACCGCAGGGAGTTTAGTGGTACTTTTGATGTCTAGAAATATGTCTTTTGAGTAATCTGTTATATTTTAATAACTCGGGTTTTTACTATAATGAATTAATTAAGTAATTTGAAGAAGAATTAAGTAATCAGTAATGACTATAAATGTCAGAAAAATGAGTTTCCTTGAAAGTGGACAGTTTAAGCTTATGTCACTTATATCACACGAATATCTGGTGAAAGAAGAATTATAAATAATTGTAAATTAAGCTTTCTTTTAAATACTTTATAGTTCCCTATTTATTTTATAACAGAAAAAATATATTTATCTGTTGATAGGTTTTATTTGCCTCAAAAGACGGAAGATATTGGTAAATGTCGTGGTTTTCATCAAGTTCTTGAGGGATTTTGTTCATTTACCGGTGACAATTCAACTTACTCATTTATGCATAATAAAGTACATAATATAGTGCGTGGTACATTTTGTTGTGCAGCAACTTCACCTAATGATCCTATATTCTTAGTACATCATACACAAATAGATAGAATTTTTCAAGTAGGTTATAAGCATTAAATTATTATATATATACTGAATATTTTATTCTTGAAACAATTATTATTAGCAGAAGGGGTTTTGTGGAGATTTTGAGTAATTTCAGTAGTTGAAATCATGAGTCAATTGAAGTTAGATGGATGAGCACTGCTGAGGAGTTCCATACTAGGACGAAACGGCCGTCCAATGCTTCCAGGTTTTCCATAGTGGTCTAACTTCAATTGACTCATGATTTCAACTATTGAAATTATTATTAGCTTTACTTTTATTTATGTACAATTTACTAGTAAACCGTTAATGATTTCAAATTATATATTACAAGTTACAGTAAACTTTATTCCTCGAAATAACCAGTGAAAATATTCAAACTCAAATAAATTATAAAGTTATTCAGATGAAATCGATCAGCTTGAAATGATATTTTAAGAATATTTTAGTCTTTAAGGAATTTTAATTAATTAAATATGAACTAAATTGTTTCATCATATCTTGCATAATTTTTCAAAGTATATATTCTGAACATTTTTACAAGTTGCACACAAGAAGAACTCCGTTGACAACCACTGGAGTAAATCGGTTCAATTTATTGATACATAATCTCAATCATAAATGAAAGTAGGCTAATCCTGATTTCCCAATTATCTTGTAAAAACGATGAGCAGATATTTTCTACAAAAAGATGCCCATGAAGTATAACTTAGATGCTAAAAACAGATATCTGATTTATGGAGATTGAATCAAATTAAAAATAACACAATAATATAAAGACTTGATTAGATCACAGTAGTCCTATATCGTGAATTGATTGAAGATAGACATGTAAACCACTTGATTCTGACTCCAAATGTTTTCATATTGAAAGCGATATCAAGGAGTTCGTGAGTCCTCATTACTGAGGGTTAGATAACTAAGATGTGATACAACTGTTCCATGATCTTTGATTTTCAATGATTCTCCATATATTGTCAGTTATCGTTAAAAATAATCCGTAGATTTTGTATCCATCAATTTACTTTAAAATGATTATGCTTATCTAATAGTCTAAACTCGAAACACTTTATTATAAGTAAAATGATTTCATATTCAGATATATGAAATTATGTGAGACAAATTTCATTTCCAATAATTCACTGAACTTTGTAATACAATGCCTTATAATTTGGTTTACTGTTTTCCTGTTTTTATTGTTATTATTATTATTTTGTATAATAGTTATGGTTTATGTATAATCGTCCACGTCCAACGGAATATCCAAATCATGGAGTTGCACTTGGAAATTGTCGTGAATGTAATATGGTTGGTTTCATTCCTACAATTAAACACGTATTAATGTTTGTAAATACAGAGCTAATAGGTTATACCTATGATAATTTTAATTTCGGTAGACGTGGCTTTAGTGGAGAAAAATACATGAAATGTGGTCCTAAATATCGTGTCTAATTTATTATTTGCTTGAGATCATAACAATGTAAAGCATAAAAACTGAAATTGAATGCTTTTGATCAACTTTAAATGAACAAATACTATTCCAAAATACCTGTTGTGGTTTTCTACCAAATCAATCAGATTAGTACTAAAAGAAATTAAAAATAAAGCGTAAATAATTATTTGGTTTTACTCAGTTTGTAAAGTTTTCATTTTAATAACACTTATGAAAACAACACTGGAGATTTCGAATATATATAATTTTCCTGGAGTTCTGACCATTGCAGGTTAATCATATTGGAAGTGAAACAAACAACATCTATGGTAGGAGATGATGATCGCGCAGTTTCGTTGATTGATTGATGTTAGAAATGTAAATCATTCAATTCAAACTTGGTAATATATAGATAAAATGTTAACTGAGAGGCCTGAAGCTTCTCGGTTCTATTGGCGATAGGTTCGTAGATGTACACTAGGGGGGAGCCACTTACTAGGCCAAAATAGCTGTTCAGTACCTTCTAGCTTTCCCTGGCTATTTAACTAAAGTCAGTTCATGTAATAAAACTAGAAAACTGAAGATTATTATACACCGAAAAATGATCGTCTGCTTCATTTTCAAATTAATTCACTGGAAAAAATGGGAAGTTAATAAAACATTCACTGTCACCAACATATTGTATTCTATTCTCAAATAGACTCCTGATTTCACTGCATCATGTAGAATCTTTGTAAACAGTTCGCCTTTTCAGATGCTCCATTAAGTCGTATTTAAGATAATTCGATATAATTTGAATATCGCCATAGTGATAAAAGAGAACAACGGCTGTTTCTTTCTGTTTTAATGCATGACTTCATCAATCTCAGCAAATTCGAAAATTAAAGTGATCAAGAGGGTATAGTGATTTAATATTTCAATAAATGTAATAGTACACGAAATAAATGGTGTACCATCATATAAACGATTATTTAGTGCACAATCAAATAATTGATCATGTTAAATGATGGAGGGACACTGATGAAACTTACCAAAAGTATATAAAGATTAAGAATATTAAGAACTCAAATTAGAATTACATATATAACTAACCTTAACTATAAACAAATGAATCAAAGTTAAACAACTAAATTATATCCAGTCACAAATAAATTAACCCTATGAAATTTCTTTTCTGTAATAGTTCATTTAAGTAAATTAGTTAGTTGAGAATTTCTAGTGTCAAACAATTTTTATGTTCCATTACAAGCAAGGATTTATTAGAAAGTGATTCATTTTCATGAATTGATAGTATTCTATTTCAGGATTTACGATATCTAAAATTCACATTCATATTGAGTAAAGCATTAAACTACAAAATAATCAAGATGAATTAGCTCATGAGATAACAGAGAAGATTTCTAAATCAAGTAGGTGCATTTGTTCGTGTTGTTCTATCTGCAATAGATAGTTCAGTTTTAAAACTCCCATTCATTCTGAACAACATGATCAGAACCTACTTCATGTTGAAATAGGTAGCTTTAAGTTATGGCTAGTAAATAAATTTAAATTTTTTTTAGTGGGAACTTCAGTAGACAGTGCTTTTTATTATTTCTGGACTACGAAATTAGAATTAGTACTACTTTGATTAGAAACAATGAAAAATAAGCTTAAGCTGAAGGATTCTTGATAATCATCTTCAAGGATTATAGATGACAAAACATACACTACAGCACAGTAAGAAATAAAACCACTTTTCAATTTGATCTATTGAAGAAAGGAAAATACTTCTTACCAATAGAAAAAGTGCTCAATTAAAACTCTCCAGATAAGTCTATTCGAATACTTCGAGATTCTATTTTATAAAATATCAATTATTTATCACACAAGTGAATCTAATTTGGAAGATCATTGTTTCAGCGTTTGCACTGGAAAAAATACCATAGTTTTTATTCTAAAAGCCAAATGGCCAATTCATTTTTATAGTATACTGACTTGTTCTTTTTTCTGGCAAGATGACCTAAGAAATAAAAAAACTGGTTGATTGTAAGTTCAATGAAATGTAATGACTTATTTATTGATTTTTTTAAAGGTTTTGATTTCAATAATAAATATATACCATTTTACTTAGATATAATTTATAATTTCAAAGCCTATTTGATAAATAACTAGAAAGTTATTTTCATGTCAAACATTACTATCTTTCAAAAACAGAAAATAGATTCGTATTATGTACATTACTAAAGTTGGAGTATATATTTCTATGATGTCAAAGTTACAACATCAAATGGGATCTAATCATTCACTTTACTAACAATCTATCAGTAAATTTAAACATATTTTCTCCGGTTCATAATACATTCCACAGTTGTGGATATTATCTAGACATGAAACATAATTTTGTGTTCTGAATTGTAAAATATATGCTAAACATTTACTTAAATCATCTAGAGTGGAAAGTAATTACTAATTTATAAGCGTTCATAGTAAATTTCTCTGTTGAAATTTAAATTGTAGTACTGACTTTTACTAGAGGTTCAAACCTCTAAAAGGAATATTTAAGGTCAAACCTTACGAGTGTAATATAGTACGACCGAGATCATTGATTAGCATAAAATTAAACGCATCTGTTCTGGTAATTAGTATGAATCAAGGATATAATGAACAAATTACACCTTACTGATCCGATTCATTAACATTGAAAAAATAAAGAGGTACTTGGCAAATTATAGAGTTAAATAAGTTCTTTGAAAGTTTTTTGATCACAAAAATCATCAGTCATTCTCATAATGATGATTTCATTTCACTTAAAAATTGATTTAAAACTAACCTGATTGAATGGAAACTAGTTTCTCCTCAACAACTCGAAGTTTTATTTGGCTTAATCTGAAAGAACAATACACAATATTAGGAACTGAAGGATCTGGGAGTTTCGTATCACTTTTAAGTTGAAGAATTAAGTTATGAAACTCCCTCAAAATGTTTACATTAATATAAAGTTTTTATAACTGATATATCAAATAAATTTGAAAATTGCAAGAAAGTTACTGGCTTAAGTTCTCTCTTTAATCCTTAATTCGAATTCACTGAACTTAATTGTTCAGTTTATCTATAGCCTTTATAGAAATAATGGATAGTATTTTTCGCACGAGCGTGATTCACATTCTGTTTTTAAACTCCAGTTGAATGATGTATTTGAAACAAACTTAATCTATTCTATTAGGGTTTCGCCCATCTAGTATGCTTCTTTAAATTAATAAAGGTGTATATGAGTCATTTTCATATACGGTAATTTTGCTCTATTTGTTTTAATAATACTTCTAAAGCCCAATGCACTCGAAAAATGTGTGTTTTGGGATTTCGAGATAGTGTTACTTATAACATGAATATGTTCACTATCATTTATCTACTGACTAACCCAACATTTATAAATAAATTTCGTCCAAAGTATAGATAAATAATTTTTATAGTCAGTGTTTACTTGTAATAAACAAGCAATCAAAAAAATGATTATTATGAGACGGGATATGAGTTGTCATAATTTATTGACTAGTTGACCTTTTATTTTGATATATACATGTTATTAACAAGTATATATGTGATCAGATTGTTCGAAATGTATCGCGCTAATATATCACATAGTTCTGATCATCTTTGTCGTATTATTACATTATCGAAATTAAAATACCTATGACTACATATTGGTTTTAGATAAAATTATTTATACATCAACTGATTAGTTACCGAAACTTTTTAGTGTACTTATTGAGACTTAAAATATTTGTTCTGTTCCCTCAATTCAACGCTTTTCAAACAGAAGTCAGTAAGTTTGATGTTAATCAATATTAGTACTCTGTATTTCTGATCCTTTAATAACAAAATAATCGTTCTCTATTGAAATTATCGCAATGAAATCAATGTAGAATTGAAGAATTACGAGTTCGTTTAAACTATTTTATCCCGGGATACCTCTGCAAGAATAAAAGAATTGTTTAATTAGACATCTTAAAACTTAGAAGAGAGAGAGGTTTCCAATACGGACTGACATCAAGTTGATGATTAATGACTACTGAATATATATATATATATATATATATATATATAATCCGTTTTGTAGTATTTTTGGTAATTAGTTCACTATCGCTTCTTGTCAAAACATTAATGGATGTCGATTACATACATGGTGATCTCTCAAAACGAACACATTGATGTTATACAATGAATAATAAACTAATCTTCGCAAAATTGCTATCTGTACAGTTTATTTGAGGTAGTTGCTTACCTTTCACATTATCATTATCACTATGAAAATTTCTCAGGACAAAAGTATCATGAAAGTTATATTTAAAATTCCCACGTCCAGTTTCTTTCTTTCTTTAAATCATTGTGAAGGGAGGCAACTGAAAATTATAGTTTGTAAGCCGTTATGCATAAAGTATTGTCAAACAGTTTTGGAGTTTCGCCAACATCAATTTTCATTGTCTTTATCATAGCCAAACATTGTTGAAGGCACAGAGAATCCGTAACCTACCATAAATTTCAAGAGTTTAGGTAGTTGATTACCTTATCAAAAGTTTTCCCTGTATCTTAAATGATATTAATACCAATATTTAAGTTTGTTTTGTCATTCAACAGCCTCAAATCCAATTTAGAACTTTTAGGCAAAACAATTTTAATCAGAACCTGTCAACAATTATTTTCTTATATACGAAAAATTCTATGAAACAGATGAACAATTGATCTCAAATATGGATTAACTTCAGTACTATCATGTTATCTAGGGTCTAGTAATACAAAAATTAATGAATGTATGATTTATAAATATGGTGTTTTTCATTAGAAAATCATATCCATTCACTTTATCTCAGAAATTTCAACTAACAAGAACAAATTAAAGCAGATATCTAAGCGGACAACTGCAATATTGAATTAACTAATGGTTTGATACAAAATTTACGAAACATGTGAGAGAAAACTAATCATAAAACAGTAACCATATGGTACAATAGCGGATAAGATTACACATTGCAGAAGGATAAAT